TTTGATGCATGTATTGTTTTTACTGAATTTACTCCAGCCAAAATTCGTCATTGAATTTGTTGTATAGTTTTTTTTAATTTTTCACAATTTTCACAAATATTTTTGTTTTTTTTTTTTCTATAATAAGTATGCAATCTATACGTCAATATGCTTTATCAGGTTGGCTTTGTTTTTCAAGAAAAGCAAAGGGTATATGTTCTTTTTGAGAATTCCGTTTATTATTAACCAATTGGGTTCCATGAATATATGTTACATTTTCAAATCCTAATATCGAAAAAAATATATTCAATACTATAATAAATAAAATAGTTAAATTTTTACTATGTTTACCTTTAGTACTTTGTCTTTGGCAAATATTTAAATTATATATATATTCAATAAAATTTTTTACTTTGTCATAAGTTCTTTTAATTGCTTTAGTTAGAAAAGGAAGATATTCTTCTTTTACAAGTTGATTACAAACAAAAACCTCATATGTGATTAAAATTCTTTTTGCTTTAATCAGTAATTGTTTTTCTAATAGTTGTTGTTTAAAAAAATAAATTTCAAGATATTTGTCTTGATATCGTATTGTGGTTTCAGAAAATTTTCCTTCCGGCTTAATTTTACTTTGCATATATAAAAAAATATCTTCAATATTTGCACTTGCTATCGATTTCCAATATGGTATATATTCTGATATATGTAAAATTAAAGCAATTGGTAAACTGGTAGGATTTGGTTCTAAAAAAACAGTTGCAAGAGCTGATCGTTGTCCTTTGAATAATCCACATTTTTGCAATCCATTTATCCACTTAGAAAATGTTTCATATTTATAATCATTTATTAAACTATAAATATAGGTTCTTTGTTCTTTTGCATCAAACATTAATATACCTTCAAAATATCTATCTAATTTTGGAAAGAAATAAACTGGTTTTCCTTTAAGTTCAGAACGAATTTGAATAAGTTCTTGAAGTGCTTCAGTTTTTTTTTGCCGCTTTGAAGGAAAAGATATACTCTTACAAAAATGTTTTTTCAAAGTTAATATATATATATATTAAAATATATTTAATAAATATTTATAGCTATACTTATTTCTTACCATTTTTATATCTTTTTTTCAATTTAAAAGTAACAAAAAGCTGATGTAATTTTTCTAAACCTCTTCAAAAATAATATTTTTAAAAAATTATATAAAAATATAATTTGTATTTTATTAAGTTTGATTTTTTTTTAACATGTCATAATTGAAACTTTATAAATTTTTTTTATATTTAAAAGAATTCAAAATTTTTTATCATTATATTATTTAAATATAAATTAAATATGAGTGTCTGTCTAATTTCTACATGATCTACTTGTATAATATTAAGTTGGCCCCCCATTAATTTTACTATCCCCTAGGTTATACCAATTAAATTTATAGATAAATGCTATCTAGAGTATTATAATTTTGTTTTAGAAACATTAAATGTTTAAAAAACTCTGGGCTCATACATGTTTTTTTAAGACCTATCAAATTACTATAGTCTGAGAATAATCTTTTAGAGAGTGTTAATATAGCTAAAACTGCAAAACAAATAAGTGCTAACTTGCTTATAACAGGAAACTTTCACTTGTGATAGTTCTACTATGCAAATAGATCTAATTCAAAAGGTATTTGGAAAGCTGCAAGGTATTTATCTAACTTATTTTGCAAATTGGTAGTTGGTAGATTGTTAAAGATATTAAAAAGTGTTAGTATATAAAGTGAAAGAGCAAATTAAGTATTATAAATATAGGAAATAGTTAAAGTAGCTAATATTGAAGTTGATAATGCTTTTTTGTAATATTTGGTTTTTAATAAATCTTAAATTTGTTTATTTTATTAGATGCAAAATCAAACTTTTTGATACAAAAGTTAAAAATAGATAGTAAATATAATTTATTATTATCCTTTTTCTAGTAAAATATCATTACACAATATAAAGTTTTCTTAACTTTTTCTAAAGCCCCAAATGTTTGTATAGGTGTGTCTAGATTTTCTTTATTACAAATTTCAAGTTCTAAAAAAATATCTTTGATATTTTTAATATTTATTTTTTCTAATAGTTTTGATGCAAGTTTAAGCCTGTTAATAATATATATCATTATAGGATTTATTAAATTATATGTTATATAATTGCTACCACCAAGATATTGTATTGCTTTTTTAAAAGGCCCAATATTGGAATCAAATTACAAAGCAATGTCTACTTATTATTTGTTAATATTATTTTGGTCAAATATTAAGAATCTTTTTTAGTATCAGAATTTATTTCTTCTGCTAATTCTACTCCTAATATATGAATATACTTTTCTAATTCTAAAAGATAGTATCATGTTAGATAACTAGAGTTTTAGCAAGTTGGTATATCTGCAATTACATGTTTTAAATATTTTAATAATTTTTTAATAGTCTAAAATAAAATATTAAATTAAAAGTTAAATCTCTACTAAAAATAAAACAAACAATTAAAAATAAATAAATATAATAAAATTTTTGCCTTATTTAATTTTTTATATCGGTTTTGTATATTTTCTAAATATTCAGACTATTTTGGTTTTAAAAAGAAATCAATTAAATGCTTAACATATTTAAATAAAATCTTAACAGGCTTTAATCCTTTACCAATTACTAATTAAAGAGTATGTGCTATATATGGCTACCAGATTATATTATCTGCTACATAATTCAAATCTTTAATAGCTTTATATATATGGAGTATTCCCTTTTAAAAGGGCATATTTTTATATTTATTTCATTTTGAGATAATTGAGTTTAATTATTGTTTTGATTTTTGGACTGATCCGGATTAATTTAATTTCAAGATTTTGATTGGTTAAAGGTAACAGGTAACTATCAGGTAATCTCGTGATGCATTTACCTTT